TACAATGCGAAATGCGTTAGTTAGTAAATGCACCTAAACGCATTTGTTTCTGTTGCGTTCAAATGCGTTTGGGAGACATTAACGCGTCCAAACGCGCTTAACTTGAATGCGTCCGAACGTGTTAGTCGTTTGAACGCGGTAAAATGAGTTTATTTTCACAGCGGTTTGGCGCGTCAGTTTCTGACACAGTCAAACGCGTTTCATTCTAACGTATTTAAACGCATTTATCACCGAGTAACGCGTCCAAACGCGTTCAGACACGTTTTTAGTGCAAAAAAACGCGTTTAGCAGTGCGTTTGGTCTAAAAAAATGTCTGCCTGGGGAGTTTTCTTTTCCAAAGTGCAGCAAGAAAATAGTTTATTTTACAACATTTAGCATTTTCTGTTTAGAAAACTGAAGCTTTATGAAACATTCGTACCATCATAGTGAACTGAAGAACTTCATCCACGCTATTAAACTGTCATCATCATATTACCGGAATTTGTATTAATTTTTCTGATTTTCTTACAAGTTTTAGCCAACATCCTGATTCTAACGGTAGGTTAACTCTTAATTACATTCTATTCTCAGTGGATTTTTCGACGAAGAAAAAACCACTGGATCGAGTCATTCAGGGATAATGACAAAAACATATGTAATTGAGATTTTTAAAAGAGAAAAGGCAGAGAATTCAATCATATAAGTTGCCAATTATGTAAAATTCGAGCAACATCTTTTTTACAACTTTTTATATGCCATTGGATAGTCCGTGTTGAATTGGATTGGATAGCCGTGTTTTGGATTCTCGCATTACAAAAATGTGTTTTTCAACTTTTCAAAATCGATTTTTTCATGTCGAAAAATTGAAATACTCGAAGGGTCGAAAAATCCTTCGAGTTAGAAAAAGTTCGAATTTTTGTCTTCTTTTTCTGTTTAGAATTTAAAAAACTATTTTTTTCTTATTTGATGTCGTAAACTGAATAGAAAAATGCTAGTTGATCAGTCCCGAAGTAAAAGTTTGTCCACCATATAGGTCGCTATCTGATGGTATTAGTGCGAGGATACAATTTGGTAAACTTATCTAGTCTTTTGTGTGAGTCGTTGGAACATTCATTTACACTTCATTAGACCAGCTTCAAAAGAATGCTCAGCTATCTTTTAAATTATGTTTCATTGTTGAGAAAATTTATTTTTCTAAATCCAAGACGAAAAACTTGAAATTCTGCATCGATTGATGTGTATCTCTATGGTATCTGAATACTTTTATTTTTGTCGAATTTTCACGTTGAAAAATCGTCGACATTTTCACCAAAAAAATGAAAATCAACGAAGAATTTCGAAATACAAATCAGTCGATTAAAGTGTTGATTCGAATATAATATTTTTATTACATAGACGTGATTAATAAAACGGCAGAAAAAATGTTGCTTGAAGTTTACATTATTGGTACCTTATAAAAAAACCATCGACAAAATTTGCTTAGGTCTTTCGGGAGAACTTTTGTATCTCGATCATTTTGAGCTTCCAAAGTCATACATTGACGTTTCCTTAGACCGATATGTCCACAAACTTTCGCGAATGCAAATTTGATATGAAATTTTAACGTCTGAGACTAATTATCGCATTCATCCTCATTCCCTCATCACACGTTTTTGAGACTCTTTCTATGAGAAGAATAATTAACTTCCCAATCAGTTCTGATATAAAAACCTAAAGTATTAATGAAAGTCTATTTTTGCATTCATTTAGTGTTTGAACATGTTAAATGAACTACTATTTGTATTTATTTTCAAAATAAAATGATCAATTGTACATTACTAAGTGTATTTTTATTGGTTATGGGAACATGTGGTAACACTTTATGTATTCTCGTATTTTTGCGTAGAAAATTTCGTCATAGTATTGTTACACCCTATTTTATTACTCTTTTAATTGCCGATTGTTTTTACTTATGTTTTCGTGTTATTAAATTATTCTATTATCAACAAATATTATTCAAACAAATTCTTCATAGTTCATGCAAAGATAATATTGTTACCAAGCTTTATGGGATATTTACACAAAAGTTTTCAGAAATTTTCATACCATTTGTACATTTTGAATTTTACATACGATTTTCTCTCATTTTAATGGCATTTGTATCGATTCAACGTTCATTTTACATATCGAAATCAATTACTCGATTAATTGTACCAGTTATTCGTGATAAACGACATTCTTCATTAATATTAATTTTGATTTCATTTATTTTAGCTTATTTTTTTGAATTTTTTGGTTTAACCATATTTTGTTCGAAATCTGCTAATCGTAAAATAACGTATGAATGGTTTTTGTATACAATTCATCAACTACCACAAAATTCAACACAACTGTTATTGAATAGTATCAATAATAAGAAAGATTTAATGTGTGTAGAACAATATATCCAGTCGAATGAGACAACTTCAGTGTGTATAAAACAACAACTCATGGAAATATTAAGTAAGTTGTTACAATTGACTCATAATGTAGTTATATAATTTAAGATAGGAGAAAATGAAATGTAGAACTGCAGTGAACGATTTGATTTAAATCAGCACTTAATTAATGAATGGAACCGCCTGTTTTGTGTTATTCCTGTGAATTGTAGATTAAATAAACTTTTTTTTGTTCTGAAAATTAGTACTTTTATCTTCATTTATGTAGAATTTTTTTGAAGGTCGTTATTTCGATTTACATGAACGTTTTATTGTTCGTTTAATTCAACAAATTGGATATCATTTAACTGGTTTCAACTTGAGTCGAAATGAAATACGAGTTAAATATCATTATCATTCATGTTTAATCAAACAAAATCCAGAAACATTTTTAACATTGTATGATTTCTTCTATAGACGAATGATTGGTGTCAATCGATATACATTACTCTTAGGTATAAGTTTTCTTTTAAATACTACTTAGAAAAGAATATAGGATTTAAATGAGCTTTGGTCTAGAAATTCAATGTCACTTAGGTGTGCAATTTGCACTTCCATTGTACTTTTGCCATGAAAAAATCGTAAAAAATAAACTGTTGTGGACTTTTATTGACTATCTCAGTAAATTCGGATAGCCCAAGCGATTATAAAAGACTAATTTTCTCGATTGCCACTTTTCTTTTTCTCAGAAAACTGATTTTCGCTACGAACAGCATAGTAATCCTCGAGCCCATTGCGATAAAGATGATATAAAATGGCCTTGAAATTTTTGTTCTAATATATCAATCGATAGATCTCAATGAAGGCTCTCTAATGATGTGCGATTCAATGCCAGCGAAAACTTCTTTTATGCAAACTTCTGAGAAAATGTATTACTCAAGATTCTTCAGCTTAAAAAATATAACTACTGCGTCGGCTACTTTTAATAAAGATCGGATTTAGTTTTAGCTGAGATATGCGAGATTGAATCTTACGGGACAGAAAATGATCAAAGTGTCTGTAACCACATTATTTTGATTTACTTGCATAAAAATTGAATGAAACTGTTAATTCTTTTATATATTCGAGCGAGTTAGTCTTCAACTTCAAATTACTCCTAAGAAAAAGAATTAGAACTCATTCCGTCGTTGGAAAAAAGTTCAGTTTTCAGCGGCAGTGAGCACCAAAACTTATTTATACATTTCGGATATCAGCGGTACAATACTAACGTAAATCGCACAGGTTCGATTCCCGGTCTACCTAATAGCAAGGAGAAAAAAAGCGGATCAGTGGAACCGGGTTTCTGCTTGGATCCGGATGGATCCGCGAAGATCCCCGTGGATTCCTAAGTATCCGAAATTTGTCCTAAGAGTATAAAAACTTTTTATACATAATGTTTCTGTGTTTTTACCATGAAAGAACTTAGATTGTGGTCTACAATATGTATCAGCAGAAATCTCTTTCAAAAGTCTACAAAATGGTTGGTAATTCCTTTCTAGTTGAAAGTGTGAACACTCACTTTTTCGGATATTACTACTGGAGAAGGATGTTTTCGGCATTGACGCACAGGCTCAATCCATATAAAACCTACCACCATTTGCATCGACCTTTGACGTCACGGATGAGACCTATTTCATACTATAGAGCTCAGGAAGCAGAACCGAATGGTCAAAATCACAAGTCTCTAGCCTTGTTAGAAAAAAAGTTATAGCCATTTCACCCCCGTAGCGGAAAAATGCATTTTCGTCATTTCCCAGTGGATTTGGCCTAACTTGTAGAACGTCTGCTGACCACATTCCCTAACGCAGAACCTTGAAGGTGGTATCAAATGAAAGTGAGCGTCGAGTTCTATATATTTCGATGAAGAAAAGTTATGCTATTAGAGTCTTCAGATAGAGATTTGTGAAAACAAACCGGTTTTCTGGAAAGCTTAATAATCTTAAAATTTCTTTCAGAAGTTTTAAAAAACCATAGCATTAGATAACCCCTTCACTTCTACATAACATCAGATGTCTCTTATGGTAAAAAGATAGAAATATTATCGCGGACTATGCTGAAAAGGTCATTTTTAATAGTAATGTTTCAAAAACGTGGGTGTTCGCAGTGTACATAACAATTGAGCAATAAATAGTTTTATTCACCGTTTAAAGCTGCATCGAATGGTATATAAGACTTTCCTTCAAACACTTTGAGTTTAGCTCGAAAAACACATCACAATGTGTTCGCGAAGCTATTGGTCAAAGCTAATCGATTTCGCACAGATATCAAGTCCGAAGGGAAATCAGGCGTCTGAAATACCATAAAATCACATGCTCTTTCATTCTAGACATCTTTTGTATCTGCATTGACCCGCTTGTATCCGGTTGTACCCGCGTGGATCCGCTTTTCTACCCTTGTCTAATAGGCTTACTATCTGAACGATAAAAGTGAATGTATTAAAACTCATTGTTTTTGTATTTAGTCTTTGGAAGTATTTTACCATCAATTGTCACTATTTCGGGTAATATCACATCTGTTATACGTATCATTCAATTACGTCGATTAACTACAGTTCATTTACCAGCGCGTACTAACGATGATTCACGACGTGTTCTTGTGATTATCACAATTGAATGTGCATTAGCTCTTCTTAATTCTTGGTTTATTGATATTCTATTAAGTCTCATCTATTGTAAAGGTAGTCTACTTAATAGTGACGATTGTCCCATGTATTTACGAGAAAATTATAATCTATTAATAACCCTAGATTTTTTAAATTCAATATCAAACATTTTTTTACATTGTATATGTGGTAAACGATTCCGCCGTGAACTTAGACGAATGACCGGCGCATGGTGTCAACATTTAACAAAATATCTTTTTTGTTGCTATTGCGAAGTACGTTCATACAAATCTTGGGAAAGGTCACAACAGCCACCATTACCACCTATAGGAAGTAGTAATGAACTTTCAAATAAACAAATTTATATAACAATAAAACCGTCACCCGAATCATCAAAGAAATTATCAAAATATAGTTATCATCTATCAACGACAAGGCAATGTTTACTTAATAAGACAGATTGTTCACCGGCCTCTATGACTTCACAACCAGAGCATAATCGACTAAAAACTGCTCG